TTCAGCCATCCTCTGCTGGGTGCTTTGCCACTCCAGTTCCTCAGTGAGGAATTCAGGGGAGCATTAAAGATAATCAAGTGCTTTAAAGCACAAATTGATGTCTCATCTCCCAAGACATTTAAAGCATATATTTAAATGCTATCCTGAATCAGAATAGTTTCCTAAACTGGGACTGAAAATCTTTAGGACATAGGTCAGAAACATAAGGATGAAATGCTACATGTGGGAAGAAGTGGAGAAGACTGTTCATTCCCATTCTTCACCTTGGGAAGAACCAGGAGAAGGCTGTTCACACAGCAGAACAATGTGGCATCCGCAAGCAAAGCATTCACTGGCACGGGCTGGGTCATTGCAGTCGGTGACACACAACGTCACCCAGACCAACGAGGGCTGGAGTCTGCCTTATGACAAGTGTGATGCTGGGAGGGGAACTCGGCATCTTTCACTCAAAAAGTGAGATCATCCCCATCCCTGACCTTGCAACACCCACCGAGACACCTGTGAGACCACCCCAGGAAGAGAAATGGAGGAGACTGACTGGCCCAGGCCATCAGCCCGGGCCACCCGGGTGCAGCCCCCTGCCATCACATCTCACAAAACAGCCTGGCACTCCCACTTTATTTCTTCCTTCTCCCTCCTCACCATTCTCAGCCCTGAAAAGCCGTCTCCCCCCATGGCACAAGGGGGTCACAGTGGGGCAGTTTCTTTGGCAGGCCCACCGCAGGTCCTGTTAACCCCCTCGCCCCTCCGGTGTGGGGGGGATTTACTCTCACCCGCCGGCGCTGATGCTCCAGCCCGGGCGGGCAGAGGCAGCCCCAGGGGAGCTGGAGGGACGGGGGGCAGCGGGGCTGAGCGATGCCCTCCCTGCGGACAGAAGCTCCGGCAGGAGGCACCGCGCCGAGCACAGCACCGGGACCGGTCTGCACCGGCCTCTAGTGGCCACCAGCCCCCATTCACTGGCCCGGCTCTAACCTCCCCCCCCCCACCCAGGGCAGCTCTGGGTCAGATATGGTCCATTTCAGCCAGGCAGGATGCTTCAGGAGTCATCTTAACAAGGAAAAGCTTCAGAGGAGAGGACCATGTCTCTGGGAGGAGCCGCACGCTGCAGCTTCAGACACAATGCTCTGAGGGCAGGAAGCCAAGGCCTGAGGCAGGATGCAGAACCAATCTGTTCCAGCTCCCTTTGGCTTCTCCGAGGCTTGGACCCATCCCCTGGGGCACGTTAGGGTGGTGAGGGCAGAGACCCTTCAGGTACGTGTTGAACAAGACCACAGCATGTGGCCCACAGACCCAGCCAAGCACATGGCTAATTGGAGCTGCTGTGCTGGGCTCCATGGCAGAGCCCCATGGCACACACCGGGGACCCAGTGGCAGTGACTGTCACTGCAGACAGCCCTGCTGCCTGCCCACAAGGCTGTCACGGTGGTGGGACTTCACTTACTGCCTCTATCCCTCACTCTTTCCAGCCCCTGGAAGTCTACCTGTGTGACACAGCAACAAATTTCTCCTACGGCTTCTCTCAAGGCTCACTGAACTCCAGGAGCCACTGCCCGGGTTGCAGGAGAACCTTATCTGCACAGAGCAGAACCCAGCAGAGAGAACCTTCCCTTCACCAGCAGACGAGACTGGAGGCCTTCCACTTGGGATCTGCAGTTCATCGCCAAACCTCCATTTCCAATACCCCAGCATGTGGTATCTCCTGTCTCCAGCCTAGATAACAAAAATGTACATCCTCACTCTCCCAATCTGCAGGAAACTGATGTAGGCAAAAGGGATGTGATGATTCATTCGCTTCATATCTCGGAGCCAAACACTTTCCCCAAGAGCAGCACAAGAATGCACCTTGCCACCCACCTCGATGTTTGATAGAAGTTAAATACAGCCACCCGTGATTGATGCTTCTCCTCACATAAGCACTCCAGCCACAATCTGGATAATGCGTAGCATTATTAAAGCATCAATTATCTTTAGTGCAAGCGGAGCCCCGTTAGCGGGACTGCAGTCTGCTTGTTTTGATAAGATTCACTCCATTCATTTATCAACAAAATGGGGATACCAGCAGGCCACGGAGTCTGCAGGCTGTAACTCTGTTAGGATGGAGTTGACATTCACATCCCTTTTGCGTGCACCATCAACCAGAGCATCCTGGTTGCCAGGGTTTAGTTCTCAGGAAGAGCCAGGTTGGTGCTACAGCCCAGGAGGAACCGGCAGCCATGGCTGGAGATGTCCTCCAGCTGTGAATGACTGGGGCAGTGCCCTGGGTTCCAGTGGGGTGCTTCTGCCTGATGGTGCTCCAGGTGCCTGAGCAAAGCGGCCAGAGAGCTTGCTGCTGGGAGGGTGATGTTCCCAAACAGCTCAAGTTTTCTCCTCTCAGGTGCATGCAGGGTGGTGGCTTAGAAAACTACAGGGAAGGAAGACAGTTCTCTCTGAAGCTGGCCTTCCCCCAGCTCTGAAGAGAAGTTTTCCTCTGTTCTGAGAACACGCTCCTGTTCTCATTTTTCAGTGATGAAAGCATGGCCCAGGGACAGGGCTAAGAAACTGCAGAAAAGCAACTCTTTTTATTAACAGATCTAAAATTTCCTTCATAAACCATGCTAAAATAGACTCTTGGCTTACTAATAGCAGTAAATCTCCGAGTCCAATAGACTTCAGTTAATGAATATTGATTATGGCAGTGCTGGAGAAGGCTGGTGTCAGTCGAACTGTGATCCTGTACCCCTCTTTGCCTGAGCAGGGCTGTAAATTACCTGAGCTCATTTGTTTTTTCAAAACTAGGTAGTGGAAAATGCAGTGGTATGGCTGGGCTGCAGCCTTCACTATCCCAGAGCTGGGGAACCACCTTAATGCTAATAGCAGCTGGTCAGTGGGGCTAAGCATTTTTTACTGGTTTTGGGGTTTTTTTAAGCCTGTGGATCTGGCCAATTCAGAGCCAAGACAGGATTTATCAACTCAGTGTCCAGCTCCTGTAGGCTGAGGAGCTCACACACAATCCAGAGGTGGACTCCCAGGTGGTTGAGGCAAGGGGCAGGGGCTGCTGGTGAGGCAGTTCCTAGCACCCACCTTGAGATTCCTGAGCACAGGGTATGGAGTGAGAGGTATTTTACACGGACAAGCTTAATTTCTTCGAGGACGACAGCCAGCCTGCCACCAGATGTTCTTACACTGTGCTGGGAGAGGACAGGCACCAACTCTGCCTGGGGCAACTCTGCCTGCTACTTGGGGCAAGCCTGCCCCAGGTTTCTGGCTGGCATCTGAATTTTTCCATCCATTTACAGATGTAAATGAACACTTCCCTCTATTCTCCAATGAATACCCAAAGAGTAAGAACCCAAGCTGATTAACAAAATCACCATGGTCACCCAGACCTTTGACTCACAAGATAAATCTCATCGTGCCCTTGATCAGTGGCTCTATTTTTCACCTTCAGGCTGGGATGACTTTGGCCTTTAAATGAATGAGCTCAGGAAATAAGCCAAGGGCAGCCCACTGATGCAGAGACCTTATTGCTGTCCTCTGCTGGGGGAATGGGGCAGTGACGGGTGGGGAGGCTGGGGGACTGTCTCAATGTTTTCATAAAACTATCTTTTATGCTCACTGAAATAACCCAACAACAACAACAAACCCCAGAACAATCCTCTCCCCTCCTCCTCACATGTGATAAAAATCAAATAATAACAGGAGTGACTTACGCGCTCTCTGCCTGGTACTTCAATCTGGCCTTCCAGTTAATACACACTATGATTAAAGCATCTATAATCTGCAGTCTGTGGAGACCTGTAGAGCAGCAGTGGCAGCGGGTGTGCAGCCTGATAAGGGTTGTTCACTCAGTGCAGATGAAACTTTTAATATTTATAACCGCTGATTTTTTTTCCTGATGCCTCCCTAGTGAGGGGAGGGGGGTGTGAAAGTTTAAAGATAAAAGCTTGATGAAAGACCAGGTGGAGTGTTTTTCCAAGGACAGGCAGGGGCTTAAAGCTATCTCCACTTAAGAGTGGTTTAAGAAGGCTGCCTAAGCAAGTGCGGCAGCAGAGATGGGGGATGAAGCCTCTGGAAGACCTTCAAGGCTTGTCTAAAGTGCAGCCAGGCCGAGCTGTAAGCTCCTGAGCTGTCTGCAGGCTGCCTTGTCTGCACCAAGCACAGTGAGACTGTGCCTGGGACTGCCAGCCATCCCCACAAAATAATTAAGTCACACCAGGTCAGCCCCGCACACTTTCAGTAAAGTGCTAACAGCATTTCCAGCTCAGCACTGAAACACAGAGATGTGAAACCAGCCCTTGTCAGCCTCACCCGTGTCTCGGCGCCAGCAGGAGCTGCAGCGCTCAGCACACGGGGCGCTGGGAACACGCTTGAAAAAATAAATTGCTTCTTGCTCCAATCAAGTCACCGTTAATTGCAGTGCAGTACTTAGGACCCTTGGCTGGTGAAACATTAAAGATGCTGGTGCCTTCACAATCTTCCTCCTGGGAAACAGAAAAACCCCCCATTTCCAGCAGCATCCCACCCCCCCAAGCGTATTGTCCATATTCCAGTTGGTGACCATTTGTCCTCAGAGAGGGTAGTCTCTGTCCCCTGGCAGCAGGGGCCACGTCACAGGGCAGAAAGCAGCAACTTTCCACTGCCCAGCAACCCCCTCTGCCCCCCTGCAGCGTATCCCACTAGAGACCCTGAGATGGCAGATGGATGCACGTGGCTTACACAGCCCTCTGGATGCCACAGTGACAGAAAGAGTCTGTTCACCCTCCTTCCAGACACAGGAACCCAACCCAGCTCCCTCATTTTCAATGCCATGAGACTTGGACTTGCCCCGTGCCCAAATGGTTTAATATTTGTGCATTGAAAAAAGAATCCTGAGACCTCCAAGTGTCAGTATTATGAAAGACAGGAATGACATTATCCATTAGTAATTTCAGAGAGATATAACCGGGCCAACCTAAATAAACCAAAAAGATGCAAAGGCATTCAATATACATTCATTCATTTCAATATATTCACTCAATTAATCTGAAAGATATTAAACTTATATACTTCTTCCAAAGGTAGTTATGTGGTCCTCACTAGCATCAGAGCACTTCAAAATGTTTAGTAAACACATACATACAACATACGTATGATACAGGGAGACACATTTTAGAGCTGAAATACAAAGCTTGGGTGAACTGGAACTGAGGTCTCTCAAATTGTACGTTATCTCAGCCCCTCTGCCTTCCCACCACAGACACCAGAAGTCAAAGAAAAAAGAAAAGCAGGCTGGCCAGGGAGACGACAGGATTGCTTTTTCACTAGAGACCAATAAAGACTAAAACTTCTGATGAAAGCATAAAGACAACTGGATGAAGAAAACGTAACACTTGGTGTCTCCAAAACAGCTGTATTCTTCCTTAAACAGGACTTAAACAGACTTGTCTGCCACAAATTAGATTTCTTGGCCTCCACTTTCTTGACTGTATTCTTTTCCTCCACAAAATACTATTTCAAAACATGGAAATAGAGTTAAAGTCTAAAGAGATAAAATTAAGTTCTTGAAAACAATTACCAATAGAAGTCCTGAGTTTATCTGCATCCTTAGTAAGGAGTTTACCTCAAACTTAAAACCTTGGGAGGGTGGCAGGGGGTGGAAACCCCAAACCTATCAGAAGGAATTTCTGCATGACTTCTAGAACTATACAAAAAATCCAAGTTATCAAAACCACCTAGTATCAGTAGACTAGTTAACACTTCATTGGCACCTGGATGCACACTGGCCAGAGCTCCTACAACATTTGCAGGCTGCAAGCAAAACTACATTAAGCTGCTTATCATTCTGAAGCAAAAATCAAGGATTAGACAAACCCCCCACTGCACATCAGTTGGCCTTCCTGGCTACAGCAGTCACCAGGATTATGCTCATTTCCAAAGCCCATGAGCATTTTGAATTAAGCAACCTTACAGCATGAGACGGATGTACATGAAGGAACACCAGCAACACCTCACAGATGAGCTACTGAGAGCCATCTATGACTCGTTTTTGACAAACCTGAGCTTTCTTTCAATACCTCAAATGTGGGAGTGTTAAGACGAGTACATAGAAGCTCAACATCCCCCTGAAGATGAGAGTTTAAAAATTTATATAAAAAAATACAATTAGAGTATCATCAGGTGTTTACAGCTATGTATTGAAGTCACCTGCTACAGACAGGTCATCAGTACAAAAAGTAACTTATCTGAAAAATAAGAACGTTAGTCAGAGAACACACTTTCCCTCAGTCCCATTGAGTGGCAGTGAAATGGTTTGCCTGCGCAGTCACCGATCACAGGCAGCACCAGCAGCTCTGGAGAAAGGGGCTGGAACCCCAGCAATGAACAGGTCCAGAAAACTTTGCTCTGAGGGAAAATCCCTCCCAAGTATCAGGAGGCAGAACGCAAGCGTGAGAAACAAAGGAAAGTCCATCCATGGGTGGTGGCAAACGTCACTGAAGAAGGCTGCACCTTACTCAACAATCCAGCTCTCATCACACAGAGACACTTCAAAGGCAGAACTGCCCAGCACAACACGTGAGCTTTGGGCATGTCCCTGAGATCAGTCAGTTGTGCAGATGTGTTTATAAGAGATTATGTCAATCCAAAGCGAAGTGCTCTGCAAAAATATCATTTTTCTTTCCAAACAAACCTCGTATTTGCTCAAACTCCAGGGGCACATCAGCAGCCTTTTTCTTTACTTCTTTATCAAAAAGCTACAAAGAAAAAAAAAATATGATGATATTTGGCAGAACTCAGTACAAGCTCTTCACCCTGGCTGATACCACTGCTCACTCTAACCTCTTAAAAGATCCAGCAATAAACCTTTTATATAAAAATCCATCCCTGTCACCACCGCTGCCTCATGCTCCATTATTTAACTGACATTTTCCTGTTTTCCCTGGCTCTGGGTAACCAGAAGTCAGCCTAGCTCCTTCCCCAGCAGCAAGGTTGACATGGCTACAGCCCCCAAGAACGAGTCTCCTCTCCCCATTCCAATCATTCCCAAAGGCAGCAACGGTACCTCGTAAGCTGAGAGGTCCAGGAGCCCTGATATGTCATCCTCCATCTCAGACAGTGACTGGTTCAGGACAGCAGCTGCCTTGGCCACATCTGGGTGATAATGGTTTTGTAGAGTCTGCAGAAGCAAAACAAATAGGAGATGGTCTGGTAAGTACAGAGTGACATACCCATCTGGCTTCCCACCCAGGGATCTACCCCTTTGTTGGGCAGATCTTCAGTGAACATCACATTCTGTCAGAGGAAGCAAGTTTGCTGTACTGTGCCACCACAGGGCTTCAAGAAATCCCGATTTCAGCCATCTTTCAAACAGCCAAATGTCCCTTCCACCCTGTTCACATCCAGCTCAAGACAGACGGACTCCTCCACAGGCTGTGCCTACAGCACACAACCCAATTCTGCCACCTCCCACAGCCCCAACGTCCATCCAAGCTCCTGCACAACAGTCTTGTTGCTGCGTCAGTCCCTTACACCAATCCCTTGTAGCATTTAAATGGAAAGTGATAATTCTGCCATTAAGGTTTTAGAACCATCAGGAGCAATTTAACCAATTTCAGTCTTCATATACCATCCTACAAACGATTCACGTGAAAGGTGAACCTTACCACCTTCTCCAGCATTTTTAAACCCATTTCTACAGGATGACCTAGCTGTACCCAATTAATTTCCATCAATGCTCAGCAAGTTCTTCTCTCCCCTCCAAAGCAAATAAAAAGTCTCCTACATTTGGAGCTATTTAGTCTGTTAACTGCACACTTTTCGTCTGCATGGTTAGAAGCATGCTCACAAGTCCCCTACTAATTAGCATGTGCAATTTCTCCAGTGTGTGGAATCCTTTCCTTCTTACGCTAGGATAGAAAAGGATGCAGAATAAAAGATGAGCCAGAAACTCATCTCATTTGCAAGACAAATGTCAGCAGGTTCTTGTAAGTGGGACTTGCCCACAGCCAATGTGTGTCAAGGAAGAGGCAAGGGTGGAAGAAGCCAATACCAGACACAGATGTTCCTTTTCAGCTGACATACCCGAATCTCCCAGAGAGAGCTCTCCAAAGCCCTGCTTTCAGACGGTGACTCCTCCTCCATAATATACGGATCTTCTGACACATCTAAGGAAATAGAGATACAGAGCTAATAACCTTTTGCACGAACAAGACAAGCTCAGTGCCTGGTACAGCCCCCCCAAGTCCTTCAGCACTTGGAAGTAGCCTGGGTCACTGTGCCAGGCTCAAAGCATTTTTAAACCCATTTCTACAGGATGACCTAGCTGTACCCAATTAATTTCCATCAATGCTCAGCAAGTTCTTCTCTCCCCTCCAAAGCAAATAAAAAGTCTCCTACATTTGGAGCTATTTAGTCTGTTAACTGCATACTTTTCATCTGCATGGTCAGAAGCATGCTCACAAGTCACCTACTAATTAGCATGTGCAATTTCTCCAGTGTGTGGAATCCTTTCCTTCTTACGCTAGGATAGAGAAGGATGCAGAATAAAAGATGAGCCAGAAACTCATCTCATTTGCAAGACGAATGTCAGCAGGTTCTTGTAAGTGGGACTTGCCCACAGCCAACGTGTGTCAAGGAAGAGGCAAAGGTGGAAGAAGCCCATAACAGACACAGATGTTCCTTTTCAGCTGACATACCCGAATCTCCCAGAGAGAGCTCTCCAAAGCCCTGCTTTCAGACGGTGACTCCTCCTCCATAATATACGGATCTTCTGACACATCTAAGGAAATAGAGATACAGAGCTAATAACCTTTTGCACGAACAAGACAAGCTCAGTGCCTGGTACAGCCCCCCCAAGTCCTTCAGCACTTGGAAGTAGCCTGGGTCACTGTGCCAGGCTCAAAGCAGCCTTCACCAGGGAATCATAGGGGCAGGGGAGCCAACTGTGAGGCCCAAGGTCAGAGGTGGGCAACGCAGATGGGTCTTCACCATCAGAGAACCCGCAGGAGAGCCTGAAACTCAAGGGACAGAGAGATCCTTCTAGACCTCTGAACTGGGGATGGGATCTCCCCTCCTCCTCCACAGGAATCCAGACCTCCCCTGCCCACCTTCCCTCTCACCTTCTGGCCCATTAGGCCTGTGCACTAGCACTTTGCACGCCGGGTGCCTCCGAAAGAGATTACAGATGAAGGGAATGACCATGAGCAGAGCCTCGGGAGGAGCAGTGAGGGCCAGCCGGGAGAGGCGCTTTATAAATGCTGCCACCAGGTACGCTGGCAAGTGACTGTTGGAAAGGGAACAAAAGAAACCAGCATGTAAAAATCCTAGCAAGTGAGCCAGCAGCCTCACCAACCCAAACAGCAGGGCAGGTTAAAGATCAGCGGCGCTCGTCAGATTTTTGGGGCTATGGAGTAAGGAGAAGTCATAAGAATCCTGGTTTCAAGCAGTAACAGAGGGACCTGTGCACCCTCTGGAACAAATCTGGGGCCATTTCCATTCAGTGCATGAATAATCTCAAATCACTGCGATCCAATCCAGATGCATGGCACTGCTCCAGGTGCTCGCCACAGCCAAGCAGAGCTCTTGTACATGGTCATTCACATGGCTGTCCTTATTCAGTCCTTCTAATAAACTTCTGAGTGCTTGGCCAGGCAGCCTTAGTTATACTCTTCTAATGTTGTTTTGTGGGTTTAATTAATACATGGTCTGTGGTGTTAAATTTATGTAATACTTCCAAGGACCAAAGCAAGCAGTGCAGCTGTTAATGGGAACATAAAGCTGCTGCAATGTAAATGTGCAGGGTAGTGGGTTTTTTTATGGTAAAAATGCAAATTGGTAACCAGTAATCGGTTCATCTAGGCATTTTCTTCAGGTCAGAAGAGCTGAGATGAAAGATGACAATTTGCAGCCACTCAGCCTTCAGCCCTAGGGCTCACTACACCTGCAAGGCTCAGCAAAGCCACCCCACAGGACACCATCTGTCAGGTCTCCTTACTGTCTCCAAAGCACACCATGAGTACAAGGGGGGGTAGTAAGTGCCTAGTGCTGAGCTGTAAAGCTTTACTCTTGGTTTATTTTATAACATACGATGGCAACTATATGACCAGCTACTTATCTAGTTTCTTCCCTGTGTACAATGAGTTGACAGCATCAAGACAGACTGTCAAACACTTTATATTTCAATGTTATCCATCTGCAAAAGGCCATCAATTTATCAACAGCTTTATGATCTATAAAAAGCCTGAAAATGTTGTTCTTCCATATTCATAAAGACAGACAGAAAAAATCATCACTTCCAGCCAAAGTAGAATACAGATCAAAATACATCCATAATCATTTGCAGATCAAACTCTGATAACTGCATTTTTACCTTCTGAAACTAGACGGCTGTGTGGCAAATATTCAAAAATAGCACATGAAAAAAATTACAACGCTACAGTAATACTCTTGGATTCGGTTTTCTCAGTAAAAATGAATCTAATCCAGTAGGAACACTGAATACATTATATCCAGACGTGTGGGGGACCGTTCAAAAACGGCCTCTGGCCAACAGAAAAGCAAGAGGAAAATATGTGAACATAGGTAGTAAAGATGCTACTTACGATGAAGACAAAAACAGATCAGCCAAATGGAAAAAGCGGGCTCGGTACTTCACGTGATAGATAGAAGGGTCTAGAAGACTGTACAGCTTTTTGTAAAAGTCAGGATATTCCCTGTTAAAAAAAAAAAAGACAACATCCATTGCTGATTAGTGATGTACAATGGGACTATTCTGTGTCTAAATGTTCCTGTGCATTGCTGATTAGTGATGTACAATGGGACTAGTCTTTTGTTATAGACTTCCCCAGACCACTGCTGGGTTCTGTTTAGCTTAGGCTTCTCTCCACAGCCACCACTTGAAAACAAGCTGCAAGGTGAATTTATAGCTCTTGCAGTGCCCAGCCATTTTGGGAATGTGGAGCTAGGTCCATTGACTGCAAATGGTACAGGGTCAGGTGAAAGGCACACCAAAGACTACGGCTTCACTGTGTAATCAAATCAATAGAAATCGACTTTCAAGTGCTGAGCAACTAGAGTCTGGAGAAAGGATATTTAGGCTCAGCTGACAAAAAGGTCAGACTATCAATAGAGCTCAGCATCCAAAGAGCTGAGCTTCTTCTGCAGAGTTTGGCTTTCTCGTGGAAGAATTTTAAAGCCTGAAGATGTGGAGAATCCATTTCAGTTCCTTTTAACATAAAGATATAAATGCAAAAACCCGTGTTCTTTTAAACCATATGCTCTTTTTACTTACAAATTATGCTGATGAATCAGAATAAATAAACCATTTAAGGCTAGAAGGCTGATTGCTCCACCTGTAAGAAAGCAGGCAGTTATTAACACAATAAAAATAATTTAAAAAAAAAAATCAGCTACAACTTGTTTCTATTACAAAACCTTCCCAGAAGGAACACAAAACTAAGAGTACCTGAAATTAGAGCCAGCGTGATGGCTGTAAGGTGACACAATTTAATCTAAAACCTTCCAGAGGCTCACAAGTTTCTCACAAAGATTAAGCCATAGTTTAGAAGAACAGACTCTGAAGGACTAAGACAAAAACATGCTGCTCTAATCCCCCAAGAAAGCCACACTGAGGAGGCAAAGGTCTCATCAGAAAGGACATTTCTGTAGGAATCTGTGTCCAGATGCAGCCCAGGTATCAGCAGTGCTGGGTGAATTTTATATTTAGAGGAAATCACTCCAGTATTCTAATCTTCCCAAAGCCTTAAATATGATTTTCCCTACATACAAGGAGCAACAACACTGACACAGGTTAAACCAGCCAAAAGCACACCCATTTCGTCATCCAGGGCATGGTGCTGCATCCAGCTGACCTTCCAAGTCCATACGTACCTTGCTGCAGGTACGTACCACAAAGGATTAAAAGCCTGATTTCACTCACCTATGCCATAGGCCACTGTCAAGAAGTCTATCATGAGAGTGGGTTCGTTCATGTAAGGCAGGATGGAGTCATGCAGAATCACAAGGACTTTTTTGTACAGGCCAGTGGGTAGCTGTGAAGGATGAAACAATACAGTGAAACAATCACTGCAGGGGGAACTTGGAGAGCAACAGCAACCCACGGCTGAAAAAGGCAACACACAAGCAAAAGGGAATGTGCCAGGACAATACAGAAGGGCTTGCAGCAACAGTTCCTAAATGGGAGGGTTTACAAGTGACACATTCATTCAAAGCAGCAGGTGCTCACAACTAAAAGCATCATCGCAGCTCAGAGTGGAAAGTCATCAGCAAAAAGATTTGGGAACCCTCAACTTGTGAGCAGAGGTTGTTATGCTGCAGGTTGCTCCTTACGGGCAGACTTGTTTAAGGTAGGGAAAAACAGGCTGAGAGTAAGGAGTACCACCAGAACGTATATGAGGTTGTTTCCTGGCAGAACGATCCAACAAACGGTGACTGGGCTGTTCTCATCCGACACTGAAAGCACAGTGGGGTCCTACCAAAGCTCCATGCAAAGGCAGCCCAGCCTCCAAGGATTAGCAACTGAAGAGTGGTACAGAGTGGTGGTAGCAACAACACTCACCTTGTGCTTCAAAAAACTGAGCCACATTTTTTCAAATGCCTGCTTGTGTGCCTGGAAAGAGAATTGCAAACAAGGGAGTTAAACACACTGGCGTAGACAGAGCTCCATAAATAAAATTTCAAGTCTGAAGAAGCAAATGAAAAGTTACCTGCAGCTTCGACACTTTCAATTCCTCCCAGTTATCTAAGAGGAAAGGAAAAACAGATGTTGAACTTCACATTGTATGTTTAAGGAATTAAGATGACCCTTTTTTACTTAGTCCTTTGGTACCCTAAAAATGTGGGGTCTTGATACAAGGCCACGTTTTACTTAGTCCTTTGGTACCCTAAAAATGCGGGCTGAAGTCCTTGTCTTGATACAAGGCCACAACAGACCCCATCATAGACTGAGGAATGTGGATTTTGTAATACTGTTTAGAATCACTGTGATCACAAAGCAGACATTTTTCATTAGCAAACGATAAGACAGTCGCATCCGACACTGAAAGCACAGTGGGGTCCTAGCAAAGCTCCATGCAAAGGCAGCCACGGCTTCCAAGGATTAGCAACTGAAGAGTGGTACAGAGTGGCAGTAGCAACAACACTCACCTTGTGCTTCAAAAAACTGAGCCACATTTTTTCAAACGCCTGCCTGTGTGCCTGAAAAGAGAATTGCAAACAAGGGAGTTAAACACACTGGTGTAGACAAAGCTCTGTTTTAAGTAAATAAAATCAAAGAGAATTGCAAACAAGGGAGTTAAACACACTGGCGTAGACAGAGCTCCATAAATAAAATTTCAAGTCTGAAGAAGCAAATGAAAAGTTACCTGCAGCTTCGACACTTTCAATTCCTCCCAGTTATCTAAGAGGAAAGGAAAAACAGATGTTGAACTTCACATTGTATGTTTAAGGAATTAAGATGACCCTTTTTTACTTAGTCCTTTGGTACCCTAAAAATGCGGGCTGAAGTCCTTGTCTTGATACAAGGCCACAACAGACCCCATCATAGACTGAGGAATGTGGATTTCGTAATACTGTTTATAATCACTGTGATCACAAAGCAGACGTTTTTCATTAGCAAACGATAACACAGTCTTCATACAATAAAAATTTAAACCTGATTTTCCCTTTCGTACAGTTTATCACGTGGAGCTTACTAACCTTGCTTCACCATAAATTTGACCATGTCTGACTCTTTGTTCGGCATGTTAATGGGCGAAATGAGGGAAAATACATTCTGCTGGTAAAATGGCAGTGGCCTCTGAAGGAAAAAAAAAAGCATGTAATCAAACATGAAGCAATTTCCACAACAGACAGGAAGATGCTGGACTTCAATACTGCCCTATTTCCCAAGCACTGAACATGTTTAGGAAATAAAAAGGAAAGGAAAAATGCTGATGGCTAAAGTACATACTGGTATATTCTCTATTGCTGCCTTGCCCTGGAGTATTACTCTTTTGCTTAACACAAAACCCATCCCTGAGCTAATTCTGATTTAACAAAATTGGTGGATTAAATTAAAGAAAACAGACTCTTCTTCTCTGCATCAGAGACAGAATAGAAATAAATGTTCTGTGTGTGCCATCTAAGCTGCAGAGATTTGGGTAAAACAGAAGCTAGAGCCCAGAGCAGAAGGATTTGGAAGAACATCAACATATGTCTTAAGTATTTCCATTTTCAGACTGAAGACGTTCTTGGCATAACTGACATACATTGTGAGCAAGAAAAAATAATTTAAAAAATCAACGCCTTCAAGTGGGACATTAATTTCTCTTGATTCCAAAGTCTTGCCATACACCGCTGCTCCTATCCGCTTCACGCACGAGATACACGTTTCAGAGCAGTTTATCCAGACCCATCTCAACAGCAACAATTTGTTACCTCTTTTGTCTTCTGCATGACTTGTCCAATACTCTCAGTGACCGCCTTGATGACAAAGTACCGGATGTCATCATACTCCATATATTCTTGAAAGCGGGAGATCAGGAGCGAAGCGTCCTCATTTAAGGGCAGTAAGCCATCAACAACTACCTAACAAAAGGTTTGGAAAGGAAAGCAAGAAGTCAGTCTCTTACAGAACCGGAGCAGATAGCGAGCTGTGGTGGCTGAGGGCACCCCTCATCTTTCTGAGGGGGAGCTAGCACGGCTGTGTGCTCCTTGCCCTACAGCAACATTCACAAGCCATTCTGACAGGCCCTCCTGGCATCTGAGATGGGCCTCTTCTATCAAAAGCAATGTTATTTAGATATGAGATGGTGGCTGATCCAGGGGCAGTGCCTTCCATCTCATCTCCCAATCCTTGCAAAATGAGGCCGGGGACTCCAAAAAAACACCCAAAACCAGTACCTCATAAACACTCAGGAATGCAGCTTGAACCTCACCAGGGACAGAAGCTCTAGATCTCGGTGCTCTCTCTAGGACACCCCCCTCCCTTCCCACTGAAAACCTCCTGGCTTGAAATTTTAGTCCTGGAGAAGGTAAGCACACATGTGTGCCATCAGGTAATGATGGGAGGAACTTTTCAGTTCTGCAGCTTACCTTGAGAAGTTCACAGGGAAAAGTTAAAGTCCCTTTCCACTCTACTTTGATCAATGGGTATCGTGCCTCTAACTCAACAAACTTCATGAGGGTGCAGAGCGACAATTCCTTTTGATAGAAGAACAACAGAAAAAATCCCACATCAACAAGGACACTGGGGGTCAGACCCAAAGGAGGGAGAACAAACTAAGTTCTTCACGGAGAAAGCTGCGTGCTGTTTACTGCCAGGCTGGTGAGCTGAGGTGAGCCAGAGGACCAGCAAGGTCTGACAGCACTGCCTGCCCTCCCATACTGAAATATCAGAGTGATAATTGGTTCTAATTGACCCCCAGGAGAACCCGTGTCCCAACAGAGTCTCAGGACCTACCTTCACCTGGAAGGCATGGTGGCCCATCAGCTCCGCCAGGCAATCCACGCACTCCTTGTAGCGGTGCCTCATCCAGATCTTGTACTTCTCCTCAGCGCTGTAGTTCTCTGGAGGAGGAAACACGGGGAAGCCGTGAAAGCCCGGAGGGGCCGGTAGGAGCCCCGGGGAGCCGCCCCCCCCCACCCCAGGGCCCTGCCTCTCCCGGGACGCGGCCGCAGCCGGCCCCCGCTCCCCACTCACCGGCCAGAGAGGCCTCCTCGGCGGGCAGGCGGCCGACGAACAGCTCCCCGCGCTCCAGCAGCGCCCCGAAGAGCCGGCTGCAGGTCCTGGCGGCGCAGAGGATCTCCTCCTCCTCCTCCTGGCCCTGGGGAACAGCGTGTCTCTGAGGGGAGGCCGCGGCCCCTCAGCCCCGCCGCCGCCAGCCCCGGCCCCCCGGCCCGGCCCGGCCCTCACCGCCAGCAGCTCCAGGATCTCGAAGACGCGGTTGGCGTTGCCGCGGCTCCCCAGCACGGCCTCCAGGCAGGAGGCGAGCGCGGCGGCCCGCGCCATGCTGCCGGCAGGAGGGCGGGGGAAGAAGAGGAGGAGGAGAAGAAGGAAGAGGAGGAGGAGGAGCGGCGGCCGCTCCGCCCCCAAGGCGGGGCCGGGAGACCGCTCCCCCAACCCGAACACCCCAGCGTGTGAGGAGAAGGCTGAGCGGAGAACGGGTGGAGAAGCCCAACATGAGCCCACAATGTGCGCTCACAGCCCAGAAAGCCACCCGCACCCTGGGCCACATCCCCAGCAGCGTGGCCAGCAGGGCCGGGGAGGGGATTCTGCCCCCTCTGCTCTCCGCTGGTGAGACCCCCCCTTCAGGGCTGCCTCCAGCTCTGGGGCCACCAACAGCAGAAGCACATGGACCTGTTGGAGCAGGTCTAGAGGAGGCCATGACGATGCTGTTGGGGCCACCAACAGCAGAAGCACATGGACCCATTTGAGCGAGTCCAGAGGAGGCCAGGGGGCGTTCACCTCCAGGCAGACATGGCGGCCTAGCGGCCTTCCAGTATCTGGAGAGAGTTGGGGGTGTTCAGCCTGGAGAAAAGAAGGCTCCAGGGAGACCTTAAAGCCCCTTCCAGTCCCTAAAGGGGGCTACAGGAAACATGGGGACTTTTTACAAGGGCATGTAGTGACAGAAGGAGGGCTAAGGAGACCCTGGCCCAGGTTGCCCAGAGAAGCTGTGGCTGCCCCATCCCTGGAGGGGTTCAAGGCCAGGCTGGACGGGGCTTGGAGCAACCTGGTCTGGTGGGAGGTGTCCCTGCCCAGGACCTGTTCCAGGGTTGGAACTCCATGATCTTTAAGGTCCCTTCCAACCCAAACCGTTCTGATCCCATGACAGTTCCCTCTCCATGGGACAGCATTCCCACAGGCCGTGGCCAGCACGGCCTCCCATGCAGCAGTAGAGAAGGCAGGGCAAGGCGGCATTATAAAAATGTACACTTTATTACACCTTCAGGTAGGATACATCACTATTCCTTACAATCCTACTGGATCAAGTAACAAACGCTTATGTTCATAAGTTATTTACAGGTTGACTTCCTAACACACTCCTGGGAGAAAGACACATCAAAAGGAAAAAAAGGAAGGAAAAAAAAAAAAAAAAAGGTGATTTTTATCTTCGTTAACTGACCTAAACAAGAAACAATTGCCTCTTTAGACACCAAATCAGACCAGCACAATGATGCAGTCAACAGCCTCCCCACTGCTGGAAGTGTTCCCCCCCCACACGACTTTCATGCACATAATAAGAGCTAAGCAACATTTAAAAGTAAAACTGGGGCTAACTAAGCAATATTTTGGGATGAGCAACACTATACTGTACACAGTGCCAGCTATCCGTTCCCAATGCATTTGCTTTGCATTTTAAACTATCCCGCTGCCAACACCACCAGCTTCACGACTAGTAACGGGGTTCGGGTACTGGCACAAACCAGCGGGGTCAGGGCAATACTACTGCATGCACAAACAGCTTAAAAAATATCCCAACAATGCCCCCGTACTGGCAGACCTGAGGGTCCAAGAAAAAAGAGGATGCAGGAGAAAAGAGGTATAAAATTATAGATGAAGAAAAAAATCAGGAACCTTGCCTGACCCAGTGTTTACATTCGTGATCTGAAACAAACGGGCTGCACCTACCCTATGTCAAACACAGGAGCTGGCTGGGTATTCTTTCTTGTTTAAGCCATTTGGATTGCTAGGTACCAAAAGGTGTGTACATACAGAGGTAAGAACAAAAGATACGCTTCCCTTGCCTTTAAATAGGCTCCCCTCCTAAGAGTAAAAAGATCACAGAATGGAAAAATAATTTTAAAACCATCTCAGAAAAGGAATGTTATAATTTTGTCTGAATTTTACACATCGTGCAGTTTTATGGCTGAAGTAAAATAAATCCATTCAAGCCACCAAGAGCTTTTTGATTCCTCACTCAGTGTTGTTTGCAAACAGAGTATGTTTTTCATTGTATGCAAGAAAAGTAAAGAAAACCCTCACAGTTCTATGCAGCTTTTTACTTGGGTTTTTGTTTTTCATAACAATAAGGCAAACTGATTTGGAGGAAGAGGCCACGCTCTATTCACATCCAAAATACCCACCTGAAGATACATTCATCATTAGCTTTAGTAAAAGAATAGTACAAAAGTTAGATCTTATTCTTTACACAGTTGAAGAATTAAGTTTTAGATTTAATTTCACTATTCTCCCCTTCCCTTAGCCCTCCCACCCCCCCGAGCTGAAAGCTGAGTAGAAAGTACTGAACATTTAAACATGTTGCAAGAGCAGAATGAAACTGAGAGATTAAATTTTATCAGTTGGAGAGTTTCCTTGACAGAAGTCCCATGAGAAACAGCTCTGGATCATTTGCTTAGCTGTATCCACCGAACAATTCTTTTACAAAAGAAAAATGAGCTACACTTTAATACACATCTACTATCAACACAGTATTTACTCAGTTCATGCCTAAAATATCCATTATCTTAAAGTGAACGATGAGAATGAGCGCACAGGTTGGGTGACTCAAGTAAACTGTACACAAAACTACTAACGAACATTTTAAAAGACTTACAAAAATGGAGAATGAAACTTTTTTTTTCCTTTTAAATTACATATACTTACAGGTTTTCACATTTATTGGCTAAACTTTGCAGGGAGCACTTCAAATATGTTAGATCTTCCAGAGGTATTGACCTCAAGCGAGAACAACGCGCAGCTTTTATGCGGATGGAAAGCACTTTGCTATATGAGCCACACTTGGTTCTTTGAAAGGCTTTGCCGTGGACATGGCGTGCGCATCCAAACTATAGCAAAGAACTGCATATTCCCAGGGGCAGTTTCTGGTACGCTAACACAGGTGAATTTTACTGACATATTTATGGCATATTACCATTTTACTTTAGTGAAGCTGGGCAGAATTTAAACATAAGTAATGCTTGCTTTATCTGGGTTGAATGAGCACAGAGAACACTGGCAGAACACATCCTGTACATATTTTGAGTGCTAAACAGTTGCTAACACGCTGAAGTTACATGAGAGTTTCCATGTTTAAATGTTCACCGGCAAAACAACTTCTGCTAAAAAAAAAATTAAAATAAAAATAGAGGTGGTTTGTCTTCATTTGTACGTTTGGAGTAGCTTCTTGCTTGGCTTAGCAAACAAGAAATGCCGTGTTTCCTCGTTATTGCATTTTAATCATCAGTTCAACTTGGTTTAGTGGGTGCCTTTAACCTGACAGTAGGCGTCCTCATTTGCACTTTCGCTTGCTGATTCTGGGCCTCGGGTGTTGCTGGTGGCTGGGCTGGGTTCTGTACACCTGGAGCCTGAATCTGGGGCGATGCTGTTGTCACCACTTGCTGTTGTATCAGTTTCTGCTGGACGACCTGAGCAGTAGCAGTTGTTGCAGGAATCACCTGAACCTGCTGTTGACCTGCTGTCGTCTGAGAAAGCGTCACGGTTTGAGGTTGAGCTTGTACCTAGACATCAGGGTGACAAGGCAATTGCAAAAGAATAGTTTGGCATTAAACTCAGCATTCAGTACATTACCACCCTACAAAAGGCATCTTACTTAAGTAAGCATTTGCCTTCTTGACTGACAAGCATCTTGCACAAAGTAGGGAGGCTGGGAAGGATTCTGGGAACGTGGGCTCTGTGGTTTCACTGAGAAACACCGTTTTGTCACATTACCTACAGCCTTATAAATCAGAACTAAGAGCCAAGATGCCTGTAACTGAGATCTCTACGGTGCAAATGTACAGACGTTCCCCCAAACCCTTTACAGAAGATAGATGTAAGGTACAAAAATCCTACTGGACAAACAGGAAAATTCCTGTACTGCAGAAGCTGAAGTGAAGGAACAGCAAAAAAGAACAGAGGGATGAATGAAGGATCTAAGAAGTTAAAATGCCAACTCTGCACCCGTATTGTGACAATAAATACAGCCACTGAGGCTTCCTACCAGTCCCTGACATTACGCTTTCAGACCACAGCTGCCAGCCTCTATTGCCAATTTAGGGTAGAATAGTTTGAACTCCATCCAGAAATCTAATTTTCATAGCCGTACCCAGAGCAAAGGAGGAAAAAAATTCAATGTCTCCTTGTTCAGAGGACAAGGTAATTAGAACTGAGCAGGTTCAGCTGCCTTCGTCAGATGCAGAAGCCAGAGGAAGCTGCAAGGGCTTCTCCTGGGGAAATGTAACTGTTGACTGATCCAAGAGGAATACACTGGGAAGTGCTAAAAATGCTGGTAAAAAGAATGCCACAGACACATCAAGACTGTGGTTTTAAAAATACTTAGCATGGCCTAATCTTCCTGCCACTGATGTCACTGGCCTGTGTGGGACAGAGGCTGTTACTTGTCTTTTTACCACAGACTTCAGCAGTCCCCAAGTTATGTCAACATCAATGACTTTTGAAAAATCTAGCTTTTAATTGTCCATTGAAAAATTAGCTAGGAACTCTTACTGACTACAGAGGACAACTCAGCTTGTGTTGACTGATGAGGTTTCTACTCCCTGCTGTATACCTTGCCCTTGAAGCATTCGCATCCCAAGTGGCTTTCAGTCAGCTTACACCGCTTTATCATCTTTTAAAATAAACAGTCACAGATTTCATTCTGCACTAAAACACTGCTCTATAAAAGGCGATAGATTAAGAGCCGATTGGCTCAGATTTTTGCGCACCAAAGGCAGTAACTTCTTCCACCGTCCAAAGTTACACTGTTCCTGCCAATCAACTGCCTAAGTTCTGCCAGGTGCTAATGGTGTGAATGGCATTGTTCTAAAGAGCGTTAAATAAACTGCCTGAAAGTTCAGGGAGGGGAAATCAAAGCATCTCACCTTCTCTTGCCCTAGTCCCATCTGCTATCGTGCCACATTTAGAAGAGATACCGCACATTTCTGACTTTTACAACACACTTGGCACAGCTTTATGAACCGGAACAAAACAACTCGTAACCTCAATTTGTCCCAATTTTCGTAGAACAAACTGAGATGGTGCTCATTAGTTCAATTATTTGCTATCTTGACTATGCATCACCAGAAAAAAAAATACTAA